TGTACTTCCCTGCAAAACAAATTATATTTTCGTCACATTCAATTTTTTTTATATTTCCATGATATATATATATATATATATATATATATTTCCAGAAATTGGTTTGGTTAGATAAAGTTCCTGAGGTGTTGATTAGTTTTTTTCTTATCTTCTTTTTTATATGTATGCTCCTTGAGCCTTGTAAACAAGTCAGAAACTCTTTTTATATTACGCTTATTTTTTTTAATAAAGTTTCTCCTTTTCTGCTATGCTGATGTTTATACACACATACACAAAAATTGTTCTATTTTCATTTGGTGTTGTTGATTTCATATATGCTTAATGTTTAAATATATCCTTATAGATTCAATGCAAACAAGTGCATCTAACATCCAATCATAATGTTGAAATATTTATTGTATATTTGAGAAATCAACATTTAATAATCATTCTTAGACAACTTATATTTGAATAATCAAATAAGTAATTTCATATTAGTGGAAAAAATATGATGTATACTAATAAAATAGGGATGAAATAAAGGGGGTACATCAAATTTGAGTGAGAGAGATATACAAGGGTTATGTTTTGGGTCTCAGGTCATCCCAAACTCCAACTTCTGTCTCTTAGAATCTCTGAAGGTTGATGGTTGTCAGTTTTTATCAGATGTACTTCTACCATTCAATTTACTTCTTTCCTTAACTAATTTGGAAAAATTGAAAGTTGAGAACTGTAAGTTTATCAAAACCATATTTGATGTTAAATGTACGACACAAGAGAGAGATGTCTCATTTACGGGACTAACCCTTCCTTTTTCTCTTAAAAAATTGAGTTTATCTGAGTTGCCAAATCTAAAGAATGTTTGGAATGAAGATCCTCTCAGAATTCTGAACATGTATAATCTATAATAAGTACATGTTTAGAATTGTGAACGCCTTACGACTGTGTTTCCACCAACAGTACCGAAAGATATTGTGGAACTTGAAGATCTAGTGGTGGAAGATGTTCTGTTACCATTCAGTCTGCTGCCTTCCTTAACTAATTTAGTAACGTTGGGAGTTGAAAACTGTGATTCCGTCAAAGCCATTTTTGATGTCAAATGTACAACAGAAAGCAAAGATGTGACATCTACAGGACCAATCCTTTTTTCTTTGAAGAATTTGACTTTATCCAATCTGCCAAATTTGAAGAATGTTTGGAATGAAGATCCTGATGGAATTCTAAGGATGCAGCATCTAGAAGAAGTATACGTTGAGAACTGTAAATGTCTTAGAAGCGTGTTTCCTGCATCAATAGCCATAGATATTGTGGAGCTTAAAAATCTAGAAGTGGAAGACTGTGAGGGATTGATGACTATTGTTGCAGAGAATAATATCGCAGATGCAAGAGGAACAAACGAAGAGCTCCCCTGTCCCTGGGTGAGATCATTGAAACTAAAGGGTCTGCCCATGTTCAAGTATTTTTACTACTGTTCACTGCAGTTCGACAATTTTGTACATCTAGAATCACACACCGAGAATCAAGTCGGTACTAAAAAGGTACATACTAGTGTTTTATTACTTGATCCAGATCAATTACACAAATATTAAGGGACACCATTTTTTTACTTTATATCAGAAAAACAAATATATTAAATAGGAATAATTGAGATGTCTCTAATTGTGTTTATCAACTTATCATTCCTCTCCAACTCAAACTTACATTTTATATCAGTCATAACTTAAGATTATTTTTTGTCCATAATACTGAGGTAACCTACATAAAAAAAAATATAAATATCGTATTTTCTTTCATCCACCAAATGTTTGTGCCTTTGGATTATGTGACCCTCGTAATAGATCTACCGATACAGAAGAAACTACCCATCCCACAACATATCTAAAATTCCTATGACCCACCTACATATACACCTATACGTACTATCTGCATGCATCAAATATTCTATACATGGATTATAATACTTTGACACTCAATAAATTTTTATAATCTTCATACTTATTATTTTATTTTTTAATTTCTTTTTTAATAAATACAAAAATTCCCTTTTTTTATTAGTATATTACCTAATTGTCAAGTGGTGATAGTAGTGTCAAAGAATCATTTTCTTTTATATAAATGAGATGTGACTTTTGCTGCAAGTCACTTACAAGACAGAGTTGATATCATTGAGCATGTGACTTACACTTTGCTGCAAGTGTTTTCCTTACATTATTTCTACGAACAAATGTATGTTCAATTAATTATAGGTCAAACATCATCAATTCGTCCTCTACATTATAAAAACTATGACAGTGATTATTACGTATCATCGTTGGCCTCCAGCCCTCAACCCTCAATCTATGTGTAACTTTGGGTAACAAACATGAAAATGAATTCCGACATGCCTATAACCTATTCTTATAATGTGATTAAACGTGCATTGATTTTACCCACGTGATTGAACAATACGAAAAATTACTTATTGGATACTTATTTATGATTCAGGCCTATACTTTTAAGTTGTGCATGAGTAAACATTTCTGCAGCCTTTACTTTTGCATTTCTAAAACTAAGGTTGCGCCAACCTTTACAAACAATCTTGTACCATCACGTAGTTAATTTGTCACAGATTATTACTTATCAGGAATCTTTGAGCATGCAAGGTTATTTATGTCTTTATATAAAAGAGATGGATTACTAATTGCCATAACCTGCTTTTGCTTGTGCTTTTTCTCAGTTAAAGTGGTTGTCACTGGGGAATAATGGAGTGGAGATGATTTTGCAAGGAGAATTTCAGAGAAACTTCTTAAACAACTTAAAATTTCTTACACTCTGCTCGTTTTCGGATGCATTTGGGTATGAAATTCTAGAACAGGTTCCCAATATAGAGAAGCTTGTGGTACGTGGTGGTTCCTTGAAGGAGATATTCTGCTATCAAATTGCTAATAATGAAGATTATAGTGGACTTCTTTTACGATTGAAAGAATTACGCTTGGAGTCCCTTGAAGAGTTGGTTTCCATTGGGTTAGAGAACTCTTGGACTGAGCCCTTTGTTAGAAATCTCGAAACCTTTGAAGTCATTAGGTGTTCCAGTTTAAAAAACTTGGTAACATGCAGAGTGTCTTTCTCGAATCTGATATGTTTAAAACTTGAAAACTGCAATAGCTTGTCGTATTTGTTTACATCTTCAACAGCCAAAAGTTTGGCTAAACTTCAAAGAATGGAAATAGAAGAGTGTGAATCAATCGAAGAAATAGTGTCTAATGAAGGGGAGGAATCAGATGACGATGAAATAATATTTCCAAAGCTCAATTGTTTGAATCTTAAATATCTGAAAAATCTCCGAAGGTTTTACAAAGGGAGTTTAAGTTTTCCATTGTTGGAGGAATTGTCAATAACAGAGTGCGACGAGATGGTAACTTTATGTCCAGGTACTCT